GAGAACCTCCTGTTTTACTGCTTTATTTAGCTTCTTTACTTAGCTAGATTAGGCATTCGTTTTACACTTTACTAGTTAATGCGTTTAGCTATTTCAATTTATTTTGTAATAATTAGTTAACTACGATTAATTAATTAATTTGTTTTGTAATAATTAGTTTAATTAGCTTACATTAGCTAGTTAGCTTCTTATTCGGTCCCTCCGTCGAGAGGGCGTAATGTTGTAATAAGCGTGCGTGTGTGTGATGCATGTCTTCCAACTCCCATTTCTTTCTCCCTTTTTACTTAACCGCTTACGATGGTTAGTTTTAGGGCATATTTTGTTTAGCATACCTCATGCTTGCATGCGTGCATCCATTCATCTATCTTGCATGCACCGGGCTCGGCACATCATACAATTGCATTGTATTTTCAATACATTTACTTGAATACGTGTTCAACAGCATGTTATCAAGTTGCATTTCACATGACGTTTTAGGTAGCCGAGCCTATCTTAATTATATTTTCGCATGTGTTGCATTAGCCATCTTAACATGAACTAGGATCATGCATGATTTCTAACTAGTTCTTTGTTTTGGCTTGGAGTACACTGTGAGTGTTTACGCTTTAGCATACTGCATGTGTGTTAATGTTGCCATGAGGCTAATTGCTTATTTGCTATAACTGCCTGAATGCCTGTGGGTGAAGGTTGGATTGCTTGAATTGGAATAATTCATCAAAATTCACGTTTTTACCTACTCGCGAGTAGCAAACTTCAAACCATTTTCACAAACGAACATGCAATGTTTTGTTCCAAATTAGGCGATCTAGTCTATACTTGTATGCTGTGCGCATCACATAGTAATTCTAGGTTAATAACCGGAATAAGAACACATGTGTTTTCAAAAAATAAGATATCATGCTTAGTAAAGGCCGATCTTTTGATTGGGCGAGCGGGGGTGCTCATTGCATGACCTTCCCCTCTCGTACCCAAGTTCTCGAGCCGAGGCAACTTTGGTGATGACGGACACGTGGCCTTAGGCACTAGTCAGGGTTTCCTAAATTCTCCCAAAATAAAATATTTAGGTGGCGACTCTGTATCTGGCAAAGCAGTCCATGTTTGGCACTTCTTTATTAAAAATCAGTTTTCCAAAACGATTTGTCGGATTTGGACTCTTTGGTGATTTATCGATCTTACATTGCACATTGTGAGATTAGATTCAGAACCGTGACATGAGTCCAAACTTATAGTAGCTAGAGAGCAAACGAATTTCGCACCGTCGCAGCGCGGAGCTCGGGAGTCCTCGGGCACGTCTACAGGTGGCATTATTGTTATTGAGTCCCTTAGTTTGTTTCCGACTGGTAAACCATGTTTATATTATGCAATGACGAGATTGGTAGGGCAATCCACAATCTGGTTGAAGGTCTCCCAATAGCGACTGTTATAAGACCTCAATGTTTCTTTTTCGCCTATGTCAATGAAGAGTAGCTAGTCGATCTCCACTGGCGTCTTGGTATTTGTTTTGAACCTGGTCACGAACGCTTCTGCCAACTGTGCCCATGAGGCTATGCTGCCTTCTGGCAATCTTTCAAACCAGGTTAGACCCAGGTCGCCAAGGCTAGATGGAAACATGATACACATTAGGGCCTCGTTCTGCCGGTATGCTGCCATAACCTGGCGAAAGTGGTTTAAGTGCATGTAGGGGTCTGTCTTCCTTTCATAGGTGGTGAATTTAGGCTGATGGAAGCCTGAAGGTAGTGGTGCGTTCTCAATTACTAGAACGAGCTCTGTAACCTTGCTAATACTTTGTCTGTTGGTTTGTAAGCAAGGCGCGGCATTGGTATCCCTACCTCGACACTCCCATGTGTCCTAGGGGCCAACCGCTGTAGGGCTGAAACTCTGTGTGGGTCGCGAGCCCTAGTGTCCTCCTTCCGTCAGGCCCTTTCCTCAAGCACTGTCCGCAAGTCCGCTGATCTAGGCAACTCCGTGTGCCTAGATGTCGTCTGGTGCGTGTGCGAGGGGCGATAGCTACTTCCCTCTGTATATGACCTTTCAGTTCTCGTTCTCTCAGACCTGGAGTGACGAGTCTTAGAAGTCCTTGACTGAGTATCACCTGTTTTAAGGCTCCTATTTTCTGCTTGCGATGGTGTGGTATGTCTGTCACGATCTTCTGAGTGGCGAGGGGGCGGGTTGCCTTTGCGCCCCTCTCCTGTCACCACTCTTTTACCCTTCATCTGGCGCTTCATTATCTCCATGTCCGCCGCCATTCTCCTTATTAACTCGTCTTCCTCCCTTACGCGATCCTCCAGAACTTGAGAATCCAACCTCCGCTTCTGTCTATCGGGACTTTAAGAGCGACAGGGCTAGTTCCCCGTCTCTCCCTTGTGTCCCTCCGGGAGTTCCGTCGCTGGGGTTCTAATTCTGCCATGGATGGGACAGAGGGTAGACCTTCGTGCCTTGTACCCCCCTCCGGGGTTTGCCCATCAATACTAGATTGCAGCAAATCTTCGTTGTGTGCCATTGTTTTCAACTAGAGAAGAAAACTTGATCAAAAGGTATTGTTTTTTGTGCACTTCCCACAAACGGCGCCAATTGTACGGGCACGAAATAATCTTCTCATATAATCCTGGTGATCAAGTTTGCACTCCTCCAAACGTCGTCGTTTTACTTCCCGAAAGCACAAACGTGAGCTAGCTAGCGGGTGTGTGCCGGATACCTCTCCGATACGACAATAGACAAAAGTTCTGTGTATTCGAGAATCAAAGTTGTGATAACTGTACATAGGTCCTATTACGAGCTTTTATAGATTCTGCGTGGCACAATCCTAGGAGGACTCTTTATTCCTCAATGTCGAGTCCTCTTAGGAATCACATCTCTAAGAGATAATGCTTATCCCTTAACACCTTCATCTGCTTTAACCAAGTGAAATGGTTTTACCTCGGTAGTATGACAAAACGACCGAGCTAACACTACCATGTTTAAGCTCGGCAAATTTGGCCGAGCTTCACCTAGCTCGGTTCCACCTTGCTCTTCCAATTGACTTCCTGTACCTCAGTTTAGCTTACTCTAACCGGGCTATCTCAATCATTTATGACCAAGCTAACTAGGCCCAATGGCGAAGCATATTCTACTCAGCCCACAGCTCGGCTCACTTCTGCCCGGTCTTAGCTCGCCCCAGATTTACACATTTTACCCTCTCAGTATACAAATAAGTTAGTTTATTGGCTTGAATTAAGTGTACAAGTAAAAAAAAAAAAAAATTCATCATGCAAACAATTAATATTGTAGTATCGGGATAAACTCTTCTCTATACCTTATCTCTTCATACTTCTCCATACTTAGGGGTTGTTTGAGATGTCTTAAATAAATGCAATTTTTGACTTTTTTGACTAAAAAGTTGAGAAAAAAAAAATATGGTTGTTTAGGATAACTTTTTAACTTTTTACGAAAAAATACGTACTAAAAAATTGTATAATTTAGTGTATAGGAGAAGGGGGAGAAGAATAGGCAGTACGTTGGGGCAGAGCAGTTGGCAGACTAGCAAATAGGATATGCTTTCCTCCTTTTCGGGCATTGAATTGGACGGTGATGTTCAACCCGTGGGGGCCCACCAAGGGTCTCGTTTTGGTAATCGGAACCATTCAATGTGTAGAACTCGTCGAGTATTATATGCTTGTAAAAAATCACGTTGATCGGATATTGATAGCTATCTGATCGGATTAGTTTTTTTGTCAACCATTAACTATAATACCATTTATTTTTTTATACAAAACTGATTTGATCATGTAGTTAGTGATATCTGATCAAAGTGATTTTTTCAAGCATATAGTACTCGACGAGTTCTACACATTGACGGTTCAGATTGGCAAAACGGGACCCGTGATGGGCCCCCAGTGGCCGAATATCACCGTCCTTAAGCTTGCCTCCGCCTGTGTAATTTGTTCTCACCAAAGTCAGGTAAAGGTAACTCACGTCAGAGTGAGTTGTACCTTTTTTGTCTAAAAATAGTTTTTTTATAAAAATTTTTTTGGTGAATAGTAATAACTTTTAAATTTTTTTTAATAACTTTTTGACTTTTTTTCATTTTTTGAAGATGCCAAACCAGGCCTTATTTTTATGGGTTTTAGTTTGGACTCGCATCCGAACCGTTTATCTCGTAAACCCCGTAATAAAAGTCATCCATGCAAAAAATAACTTCATCATAAAATTGTAAATACAAAAACAAATCACATTTTATTTTATAAAATGAATGGTAAATATAATTAAATTTAAACCGTCTATCTTATGAAACAAAAATGTAATTTGTTTTTATGTTTATAGTTGTTCGATAAAATTAATTTTTTATATGAATAACTTTCATTGCAAGATTTACGAGGTAGATGATTTAGACCATCAGTGTGAATTCGAATTAAGATTCATAAAAAATATATATATATATATATATATATCTATATAATATGGGAAGAGGGTTTTTGAATTTATAGTACAAACAATTGTCCTACTAGGACATTTGAATGGTCAAGATTTATTTGTTTATTTATATAGATGGCTGAGATTATCCCTAAATATATACCTACACATACTTCCCGCATTTCAGTCCAGGGCTTCACACCCATTAAGTGTTTGTTTGAATGGGTCTAAGAGGGTGTTCCATTTTTTAACTGAATGGATATGGGTTCATTTATTGCTTATTTTTTGCTTGAATCTGAATTTTTTTGTGGGTTTGGTTGTAAAGTTGCAATTCATATTCTTTTGCTGGATTTTTTGTGGGTTTTGTTTGGTTGGGTTGATTTTTAACTGAGTTTTGAATCTGGATATTTTTCATCTGTAATCAGTACTGGTTTTCTTGCTGGTTTTCTTGAGTTAAACCAGTAAAAAAAGGGGAATAAAAATGGAGGATTAGAGAATGACAATGTGGGTTTTGATGAGGCCGTGTGTTTGGGGACCAAGAAACCCTTCCAGAAATCAAGGAAAGTGAAACAGAAACTGAAACACAGAAACAACTAGAACAATAAACAAGTGTGGTTGTTGTGAGAGGAGTGGAATTGCCAAGATCCATAGTAATTGCAATCTAATTGTATACCAATTGATCAACCACTGGCCAACTTTCTTTCTCTACTCTTATTTATTTCTTTATTTATTTATTGGGTTTCACTATATATATATATGATTAGAGAAGATTGGTTGAGTAAATCACCTGCCCATAAGGTTTCTAAGCAAATGGCCAACTTTCTTTCTCTACTCTTATTTATTTATTTATTTCTTTATTTCTTTATTTATTTATTTGGTTAAGTAAATCACCTGCCCATAAGGTTTCTAAGCAAAATTCAGTTGATAGTTCTGATTAATTCTTGAATTAAGAAGCACAAAACAAAGAGGGTTATAGAGATTTTTGTGACAGGGAATGGGGATAGGGAAATGGGTTTGTTTTATTATTTTCTTATGTTGTTATGAGGGTAACTACTGTTTGGATTTCTATTACAATCTGCAGAAACTATTTGGATTTCTACTGTTTGGATTTCTACTGGGGATAGGGAAATGGGTTTGTTTTACTCTACTGTTTGGATTTCTATTACAATCAGTCAATACATGTTCATGCACATGGTGGGCTAGAGTAATTGCAGTGAAGTATCCCCATTCCAGATTGACATCACTAACCCATTTAACTAACAAATTGAACAGATCCATTCAAAAATATATACTCAATCTGCAAGATTTAGTGATGTCAATTTTACTTTAATCCCATTCAAGAACAGATCCATTCAAAAAATATATTAACTAATTGCATAATTTTTATAAAAGTAAAAAAAATAAAAATTCAATCTGCAGAAACTGATTCAATTTTACTTTAATCCCATTTAAGAACAGATTGTATCTAAAATCAGTTTTCAGCACTATTTTTGGAATTGGTCCATCTATCTTTATCTTCATCTTCTTTTACTTTGTCTTATATCTACACTTTTTTTTTTAATTTTATTTTACGTTTCAATTTGGCCAAGGTATTCCTGTCCTCCTCCCTCTCTCACTTTAATCAGTTTGTTCTTGCGATCAGATTGCGCCGCTGCTCATCATCACCACTCGCAAGGTTCCCTCTCTCCCACCCTTGGTTGTTCCCTTCGCAAGGTAATTTTGGTCCCTCTCTGTTGTATTTCACATTCGGAGGAATTCAAGTTTTGAATTCTGTTTTCTCCTCTTCATAACGTTTCTAATTCAAAATTCCCTTTTTGTACCAGTTTACAAATGTTCACTTTAATCAGTTTAAATGGGATCAGATTGTAGAAACTGATTAAATCAGAAACTGATGATCAATCTGCAATCTAATTAAATGAGTTTCTGCTATTTAATGTGATGATCATCAGTTTCTGCAGATTGATTGAATAATCCCATTTAAGTGAATCAATCTGCAGATACTGATTCAATTTTACTTTAATCCCATTCAAGAATAGATTGTATCTTTAATCAGTTTCTGAATGAGTATGGACATGATAACTTTGGTCTCCATTGGCTCTAATGTATGGATGAAACTGCCAAGCAAGGAAGACTTCATTCATGGTTGATTTGAATTTTAGCTATAACCCCAAGGAGTGATGAATTAATGATCACGAACTCTGTTTTAAGCAATAGCTATCTTTATTATGTATAGATCTTTGTATTTAAAATTTCAATGGCATTTTGTAAGATATTTTTTTACAGGTTATTATTTTAAAAATTATTTATATTATAATTAATTAATTTAATATTTTATAAAATTTAAAAAAAAAAATCAATCTGCAGAAACTGATTCAATTTTACTTTAATCCCATTCAAGAACAGATTGTATCTTTAATCAGTTTCTGAATGAGTATGAACATGATAACTTTGGTCTCCATTGGCTCTAATGTTTGGATGAAACTGCCAAGCAAGGAAGACCTCATTCATGGTTGATTTGAATTTTAGCTATAACCCCAAGGAGTGATGAATTAATGATCACGAACTCCGTTTTAAGCAATAGCTATCTTTATTATGTATAGATCTTTGTGTTTAAAATTTCAATGGCATTTTGTAAGATATTTTTTTACAGGTTATTATTTTAAAAATTATTTATATTATAATTAATTAATTTAATATTTTATAAAAAAAAAAAAAAATCAATCTGCAGAAACTGATTCAATTTTACTTTAATCCCATTCAAGAACAGATTGTATCTTTAATCAGTTTCCGAATGAGTATGAACATGATAACTTTGGTCTCCATTGGCTCTAATGTATGTGGCGTAGTGGCATGATCTATGGTTCTATCCTATCAATTTATACTATTATTCATGAATTCCCTTCTCTCTTTTTACCAAGTAGCTTTCTCTTCTTATGTCAAGTGTTAATTTCTACTATTATTCAAAATTAAAATTTATATTTTAATTACACCTATCAGGGTAGACTCATGTCCTATATAGATATACTAGCGTATGCCCGTGCCTGAAGACACGGTATAAATAATATTGGTACATATATTTTACAAAAATCAATTAACATAAATTATTAATATTGGTATCACATCCTTTACATGGTATAATTGTTTTAGAGAGGGGTAATTTTATTTAGCCTTTCTGCACATCCATTTTCGGGATCAAAAAATAATTGTTTTAGAGAGGGGTAATTTTATTCTTTATATATTACAAAAAAATAAGATAAATTCAAATTCATATGAATTATTAGAACAATAATAATTGAAAAACAATAAAAATAAATAACTTAACAACGTCCAAATTTTCCATGTCAAAACAACCTCCTTAGTAACATTGTTGTTAATGAGCACAATCACATTCAGCACACAACTACTAAAAACAAGTAGCTAAAAGAGGAATATTACCGAGTCAAGAAACAGAGGCTGATCGCCTTCCAAGAAGATTTGGTTTCCATGGATTTGTAACTTTTTTTTCCTTTATATATTGTTTCTATTGGTAAGACATATTGCTGATGTGAGATTCCTTTAAACATTTTTTATTTTAGTGGCATACATTTATGTTTGGACTTTCTAAATTATAATCATAAAATTGAAGTGAAAAGGCTATCCCTTCTGGCAAAGGAAAGGAACATGCAAATCCCGTAGTATGGTTTCTAAACATTTTTAAAAAGTTTGTTTTTTGAATATTTATTATTTTTTTAATATAGATTTTTGTTAGAATTGCATAGTGTCATATACTTTTTTTTATGTATATTTTTATGAGTTATTGTTTTTAAAATATTTGATTTTCAAACAAACACTTAATGGGTGTGAAGCCTTGGACTGAAATGGGTAAGGAAAATCGAACATTGTACGATATCTTTATTGTTTTTAAAATATTTACTCAAATTATCAATACCCATTCAAACAAACACTTAATGGGTGTGAAGCCCTGGACTGAAATGGGTAAGGAAAATCGAACATTGTACGATATCTTTATTGTTTTTAAAATATTTACTCAATTGTTTTGACTGATTATAAAATATTTTTCTAAACCATGTTAAAGTAAGCATTTGTACAATATGTTAATGCATTTGTCTGAACATTAATTTGAACACATGTTGCAGTTACAACATATCATAATAAACATATAAGAGAAGAAAACAAAAAAGGAAATGAAGTTTTTAATTATAGAATATAGATTTTTTAAAATTTTAGTTTTACTTATAATATAACGGAAAGAACACGAAGAACGAAGAGGGAAGCAGAAACTAGAAAACATTACACACTAATATTCACATTATACGTACTCAATGATCTAATATTTATCTTTTCAACGTAGGACAAAAAATATGAGTGCAATTAGCAACATGAGTGTGATCTCTAAAAAAAATAATAAAGCCACGCAGAATTATAGAAGGTGTATGGAAGGTTGATTAATTTAGTAAGTTATTTTAATTTTTTGGTTACTTTAGTAGGTTAAAATAATTATGTTTAGCAAGATTGTTCAATTTTTAAATAATTAGATATGATATATATGAGAAAAAAAAAATGTTAAATGATTAAACACATTTTTAACTTATTTTTTCTTTTAATATTATTTTAATCAAAAAAATATTTAAATACATACGACTCAAAAAATGTTTGAGGTGACATTGTTTAAATACATTATAGATATATATAGATTTTTCTCATAAATACACTAAAGTTTGTATATGATTCAACTCAAATCACATTTTAAAATTTTAAAAATGTGTTAACATACAGCGATTTTAAATTCTATACATTTTTTAGATGGTGAAATTCTATAAAAAATTCAAATATGAATTAATATTTTAACTTAAACTTTTAGCAATGAATTTGATAAATTACATTTTAACTTAAATGAACCGCCATCGTACGACGGTGGTGTTGCTGTAGATGGTGGAGGAAGTCTTATGTGTGGAGTTTTATATTGTAGTGAAATTATTATCATCTTGAATTGATTTGTTATAATTGATTTCTGTAGCAATGAAATTATTATCATTTTGAATTAATTTTTTTGTAAAGGATGTGATACCAATATTAATAATTTATGTTAATTGATTTTTGTAGAATATGTGTACCAATATTATTTACACCGTGCCTTTAGGCACTGGTATACACTAGATGGATAGTGTCTTTTTGGCATTTGGTGAAATTCCATGAGTTTTTTTCCTCCCTTTTTAAATTTTATCAATACACGCATTGGTTCTTATGTGACTAACAACTCAACCGAGCGAAGAAGAAAAGTTAGTTAAACTTTTGAGAACAAATACATGATAAAAGGGAAGCAAGAGATGGGACAATCTTCACATTTTATGCACCTAATTATATAATATTCTCATTTTAGGCACACAATGATAATGTGTTATCAAAAGCTGCATTGGCTCAACGTGCACGGTGAGAATGTGAAAAAAATCAAAACTCATGTTCTGCATACCAATTAGGACAACGCCTACGACGAGAACGAGAGAGATCAAATGAATGTATTAACCCAAGACAACCTTCTGTAACACCCAATTGGTAAACAACTCAGTTTAATTCTTGAAATATATACTCTTACTATTATCACTTTATTATACAGATTTTAATTTATTCACAATTCATTTTTGTAGGCCTGCTCCTACAACCCCATCTAGAAATGTTGGTGTGGTCATCCGTGATGAGCATGACCTTAATGTTATTCGTGTTCGTGCGGTAAGTAAAAAATCAAGCAAAACATTGTATGTATTTTTATTTATATAAGATTTTTTTAAATCTTTTCAATATTTTATTTATATTTTTTAGGCAAAAGAAAAAGAAAAGGTCAATCCAATGTCTAAGGGAAAAGAAAAGGTGACTCTTTCTGGCAAGAGAATGACAAATGCATGTCAAGTGGTATATATTCCTTTTAAAAAATATGAAGCAAAACTATGTGAATTTGTTGCTTTATGTTTCTGCCCGTAGAATGATTGTAATATATTTGCCTATAATTTGCTATTATTTATATGTGTTTTCCAAATTTATTTATTTTTATTTAGCATAGATACATGTGCATTTATAATGTAACATGTGAAAAGAATAAGAAAAAAAAAATGAACAAATAAAGACAAACTATGTAATGAAAGAATAAAGTAAATAAGATAGATTTTTATTTCTTCTTTATTTTTTTTTATAAAAAACAAAATTCATAGAGAAAGAAATAAATACATATAACACTATTAAAGGTATAAAACAAATAAAATATAAAACAAAATTAAGAGAAACAAAACAAACAAGACGATATTTCATGTTAAGTACAAAATATTCACATAGTTTGCACCAATGACAAAATATTTTCATTTTAGGCACAAAATGATAACGTAATATCAAAAGCTGCTTTGGCCCAACGTGCACGACGAGAGCGTGAAAAAAATGAAAATTCATACTTTCAATGCTCGCAACGAGAACAAGACGGATCAGAAGAATGTATTCAACCAATACACCCTTCTTTAGCACCAAATCGTCGCAATCGTGCTTGCCTGGAATGGGAAACAATAACCGAAGATTCTCATTTGGCACAAAAACGAACAATGGTTGCCCATCATTCTACATGTTCGTTTTCTATGCCAAGCACATCTTTACCACCACAAAGGAATCGGTAAACTACTATGTCTAATCTTGAAATACATATTCTTACCATTTTGTTTTGTAGAATTTTATTAATACACAAATATTCGTAGGTCTACTTCCATAAATCAATTTCTTCAAGAAGATTTATATACTGATGATGAATTAGAAGATATGCCTATGAGTACATCAATTGATGCCCGAGCACACAACAATTCGTGCCGCCATTATCTTGGCAAGATGGACGTATTATGTCCTTATTGTTCAACCTTACATTGGATGGATGAAAAATTGACCAAATCATCTATAAAGCATCCCTTATTCGGAACTTGCTGTTTGGAAGGAAAGATTAGGCTACCTTTACTTATTACACCTCCTTCATCACTTCAAGCGTTGTATGATGGGAATAATGATCAATCAAAATCCTTTCGAAGTTATACTCGATTGTACAATGCAGCCAATGCTTTTACAAGTCTTGGTGCTACGTTGGATCCTAGAGTATTCAGTGGAAGGGGCCCTACATCATTTACAATTCATGGGGAATTACGACATCGAACAGGATCACTACAACCACAACCAGGGCAGGATGCGAGTTATGCTCAACTGTATATCTATGACCCTGATTCAGCGTTAGAAATTCGTAATCGTAGAAATCCTAACTTGAGAAGGGATGTGCTCAAAACTATTCAAGATAGTTTGTTGCAAGTCAATGCATTTGTAGCTACATTTCGCCAGGCTCATGCCATTTTACATCAATTAGATGCAGCGGGACACAATCTACCTGCTCATCTTCATTACAATTCGACAACTGATCGACGTCGGTATAACTTACCAACTGCAGATGAGATTGCGATTGTAATACCAGGTGATGGAACAGAGGTAAGTGGAATGAGAGATATTATCTTGCATTTCCAAGGAAATAATGAGTTGATGCAAATTAATGAATGTCACCCAGCATACTTGCCATTACATTATGTTCTATTATTTCCTTATGGCGAGCTTGGATGGGAACCTGAGTTGAAATTGTGGAATGTTCAATATGATCGGCCTTCAACTGATCGACTTACTCAAATGGATTTTTATAGTTATCGTTTGTTTGAACGACCCACAGAGTATTCAACAATTTTGAGAGGTGGGAAACTATTTCAAGAGTTTTTGGTAGATGCTTGGGCAAAAGGCAGGGTTTTAAATTCGAGAAAGGCAAGCATAACCCATTGAACAAGAAACAGAATACGGGGTCAACAACTAGCCCCAGCCAAGGGAGTGGTTTCATACCACCCTGTTCTAAGTGCGGCAAGAAGCACAAAGGGGTCTGTTATAAAATATCTGGAGCCTGTTACAAGTGTGGCAAGGTGGGCCACATGGTTAAAGACTGCCCCTCTGCTCCACAAGCCAGTAGTAGATTGGGACTAATCCTCAAGAAATCATCAACCTTCCATCAACAATACACAAATGTCAAGATTTGAATGAATTGCTTTCTACAGTTTACCCACAGTTGAATATGATAGAGACGTCGACTCCAACATTTTTAACTGAACGCACCATTCTATCTGCGCGTAACGATGATGTTAGTGACATTAATACTACTGCGTTGAATATCTTTCCAGGGAGATTATATACTTATCTTGCCGCAGATAAAATGTCTGAAGATAATGAAATTGATCCTACCATTACAAATAGATATCCTAATGAATATTTAAATTCATTGGATCCTCCTGGGTTGCCAACTTTTAAGTTAGAGTTGAAAGTGGGTTGTCCTATAATATTGTTGAGAAACATTGCACCGAAAGATGGACTATGTAATGGTACAAGATTGATGGTTACTAGGTGCGGCACTCGCATAATTGAAGCTCAAATTTTAACTGGAGAAAAGTTTGGCAATTTGGCATTCATACCAAGGATATCTTTGACACCATCTTCTTCAGAAATGCCTTTCCAAATGACAAGACGTCAATTTCCAGTCCGATTAGCATATGCCTTGACCATTAATAAATCTCAAGGACAATCTGTGAAATTTGTTGGGGTTGATTTGCGCATACCAGTGTTTAGCCATGGCCAATTATATGTGGCATTGTCCAGATGTACATCCTTTGATCGTATAAGTATTCTCCTCCCTAAAGATAGTTTGGATTCTACTACAAATATTGTTTATCCTGAAGTGTTGTTGTAGTGTTCCATGTTCATTAAATCATGTTTTATCAAAAGGTAACCATGTAAATTTATTTCTATTGATTATAATATATATATATTTTATAAAATTTCAATCTAATAATAATTGGAAATATGGATTTTTTAAGGATTGGATCAAAAAATTTATGGAGCTTAAAAGGAGAAATACAACTAGCTTGCTTCGATGGGGATGTAATAAGGTAATTTCAATCTCAAAGTATTTTGATATGTATATTTCTAACAAATATACCAATTTATATATTTTTTTTATTTCCACAAATTACCAGATTGTTGTCCATGTTCCTCATTGGGGATGCATACAAGTTGATACAAAGACTTTTTCGAAAGTAATGAGGAGGAAGTTTGGGCAAATACATGTTTAAAGACACATTATTGACACATCTTATGTTAAGAATACATATTCTGGAAAGCTTCGACCCACTTTTTTTTTTTATAGAGTTTTAACTCACTCTTTTAGCATATGATAATATAATGTTTGTTTTTCTTATGTAGTTAGAATTTGATTGGAAGCAGTAACACTAACTGATGTGCATTTTAATTTTAATTTTAATTTCTTTTAAATTGCAGAGTATTGGCTGGTGTGCATTATTTGATATTTAATTTTTTTTTATATTTGATGTGTTTGAAATTGTAAAGTGTAGTCTATTAAATAGATTTTTATAATTGCATTTTAATCTTAAATTTCAATAGTGTTGCGATAACAATTATTTATACCGTGCCTTCAGGCACGGGCATACGCTAGTGGAATATATTACAAGATGGATTCACATGGACATACAAAATAATATACAAGAAATAGTTTAAATTTAAAACTTTGAAAAACAAAAGATAAGTGATGCAAATCGAAACCTATAGTATACACAATTTCCTTAAAATAGATTCGCCGCCTCATCGATGGGTTATAGAGGTACGCCAGCATCTATCTCATAGGATACGACGATCGAAACTAGCTAGAGCAAAAGCACCTTTTGAATAGCCTCTGCAAATTTGACAATAACATCACTCTCTCTCTAACAAGAACCAAAGAAGAGGCTAGTAAAAACAAGATAGGAAACATTTCTTAGGTGTAAAAACCATCTCCAATTTTATTATCTCAAAATAACATCTCCATTTTTCATCTAAAAAATCTCATCAAAATCATCCTCCCAAGTTGGAAGGGAAGGCTTCTATTTATACAAGTAGGGGAGACCCTAACCATGAAGACTATAATAATTTTTTGACAACTTTAATTTCACATTAAAGTTGATGAAAATCCATTATTTTTCAACAGAGCATTCCTTATACATTAATTTTTATTATGTTGTTAAATTTTATATGTTATTTGTTTTTAAAAATATTGAACATGCCTCTTGAACCACCACTCTCTGTAAAAAAGAAAATAAAATATACCATAATTGCATTAAATTATTGAGTTAACTAAATTTAAGAAATTAAATTCATAAAAAATTAAATTAAACTAAATTTTTAAAAATAATGATTTAAATTTCATATTGAAATCAAAGACAAAAAATAAATAAATAAATATATAAAATAAAAAAATTGCAAGATTAAATTAAATTATTTTTATTTTTTTTTTAGCATCTATAAATTCAAATTTCAAATTTATTTAGCAAAAACACTTTGTTCAAAAGGTATCCTTAAGTTAAATGACCAAATTACCCTTTCTATATATATATATATATATATCCACAGTGGACATCTTCTCTCTCTTCCTCTATGTTCTATTAGGGTTTTGATGGACATCTTCTCCGGCGAACGGCAGAGAAGAACAACAGCAATGGCGATCCCTCTGCATCTTTCTATATATATATATACAGAGACATACACATGTAGACGAGCACACCAGACTTCGATTTCGATCGCCAAAGGAGGTTGTCGAATCTCTGTTTCAGTTGCAATCACCTTCTATTCATTCTTAATCACGCTTCAAATCGCACAAGTTTGTGTTCTATCTCTTTTGGGATCGAAATCACCGAAGGTTGTGATTTTCGGTGTGTTTTTGTTTTTGCTATAGTGAATGAGAGCTGTGAAAATGCATTGAAATTTTTTTTTCTGGTGAATAAGTTGTTGTTTTAGGACAAAGTTGTGTGTTCTAGCTATAAGTGAAGGACTAAAATATTCTTATTTGTATTAATTTTGTGTACCTGTTTAGCTGTTATTTTGCAAGAAAATTTTGGTGTTTTCCATGAACAAATTGGTTGTGTGCTCATGGGAAAGTAAAAAAGAATCCTTTGTTTGTTGAGATTCTGTTAATATTCTAATTTTTTGCTTAAATTTCAATAGACTATGTAATCGCCGGAGTTAGTGCCAACGTTGCGATTTTCCATGTGTTTTTTTGTTTGTGAAATAATGAATCAGTCTTGAGATTTTCAATCATCCATAACCAGATCTTCATAGTACAAATCTCTAAATCACTTATTTGTCTTTTGTTAATGTGTTTTTCTTGTTTTCTTTGCAGATCGATGTCAAACAACGGTGTTGATCAGAAGCCCTAAGGTTTAATAGATTTATAATCTTTGATGATGATCATCGTCAACTCTGGTCTCCATATGGGAGTCTCAGCTTCGTCTGAGAGGGCCATCAAATTGGGAGCTGCGAATGAGGAAAATGGATGGCTTAGCTGAGGACAATTTGAAGACGGCCGAAGACAGGGAAGGAGATGAAGAAGTCCTCTCTCTCTCTCTCTCTGTATGTATGTATCACTCACTCATCAGATCTGAGAGTGAGTGACATAGTGTAATGGTGATCTCAAACACACACACACACACACACACACACATTGATCTGTGATCTCACACACACACACACACACACACACACACACTAGATCTGGATTATGATTATGATTATGAGATTATGATTATGATTATGATTATGATTTCATTTTAGTTTTCATTTTCATTTTGATTATGATTATGCTTTTGGTTTTCATATGAAGATTGAACAAATCTATTCAAAAAGGCTCAGATCTGTCTCAGAAATCTCAAGTCTTGTTGCTCCTCCTCTTTCATGGATCTTTGATCCAGATATGTTGAATTCAAGAGATAATTTTTTTTTTTCTCGAACAGATTAATTTTTTTTTTTTTTTTTTTTTTTTTTTTTTTTTTTTTTTTTGATGATTGTTGTTGTTGATGTTGATGGACAAATTAAATAAATAGAATTCGAATAAATAATGAATTTGGACAGATAGAATTTTATTTGGACACATTTAAATAGATAAGGGAAATTTGAATTGAAAAGATTAAAAAAAATAAACAGATAGGTAAAACAATTGAACAGATAAGAAAATTTTGAACATATAGGGAAAAAATCTGAACAGCTAGTTAACGAAAATCAACATATAAAAAAAGTCAACAGATAAATTAAGGGGTAAAATTGCAAAGAAAATGTCTTTCAAAATAAATAAATTGACTTGTCACCAAACTATTTTACAAAGGTGGACCTTTTGAAATAAAAAATATTTATTGGACCTAATGACTTATACCTTCCTTATCTTTGACTTTTTAATAATTATCTCTTTTTTCTTTATAAATTTAAGGGAGCTCAATCCATAGGTCCATTTCATAAAATTGTAGTCATAGATCCAGGCACTTATTGTTCAAGTCCACAAGGACAATCCCATGTCCATATTATTTATTTGCAGCTAGGCATCTATCTGTTCAAAATAAACTCTCCAAACCCATTTTTCTAGTTTCTCTTTGTGATAACTCAATCCGTACTATGCTTAATTATGCATGTGATTATGTGTTTGGTATGAATTTGCAAGTTTAAGTATGGGAAACATGTGAATTTGGAAAAAAAAATATATGTTGAAAGTAGGAATATCTGTTGCGATTGAAACTTTGAACTGAAATTGAAGGCCTTAGAGGCGCAATAAATAAAAACCGGCTTCATATCTATAATTAGCATGATTTATAGAGCTTACGGTGAAATTTTGAAAAATTACGATTCGTAATTTATTAAGATTTATGAGTTGAGTTGTATATGTTTAGCCCTTTTTGTTCTGCATTGTGGCTTGAGAGCTCTAGAGAGTGAGTTAGAGAGAGGAAGAGAGAAAGCTAGGGATTTTGAAGAGAAACAAAAAGCAAACCTTAGATTTGAGTTAAGGTAGTGTGGCGGAGGAGACGCTGCAAAATCAAACACAATGTAAGTAGTAATATTGTATATTTATGCTTTTTATTGCGTACCTTGAACTATGAATGGTAAATGGTGCCAACATTACGAATTGATTGGAAATGAAGAAACTTCATTAATATTATATGACATATGCTATATGATTGGATCCAAGGCCGCTTGTTATATAATTAGGCCCAAAGCCGCTTGATATATGATTGGGCCCGAGGCCGCTTGTTATATGCTTGGGCCTAAGGCCGCTTGGTTTATATGATTATGGATATTGTGAGAACCTTATGATTATCTACTTACACTGCTTTACTGTATTATTACTCATTGAGCTTCGCTCACCCAATATTATGTTTGCACATGTAGGTGATCAGCAACATGGAGCACACCCCTAAAGGCAACTTCAAGAACTATTTTTGTGACCCAATCGAGTCATGCCTCCGAGACAGAGTTTTGTCTTGACTCACATCACACCTTGACTTTATTTTGTTTTTGCTTTTATGGTCTTGGGGTTTGTAAACAATATGTACAAATTTCCTATGGCACTTATATTTTTGTTGGGCATGCAAATGTACTAATATGTTACATGGTTAACTCTATAATTTTGTCCATGATTGGCACGTCTCAATGGACTTCTCTTTATTATATGCTTCCGTTTATGGCTCCATTAGCATAACTATTTTGTATGTTTGTTTGAGGCCTTCGGTAATCTACAAATTACTGGCAGGTTATGACCTAAACTCTTAGGGGCGGATTTGGGTCATGACAGAGTGGTATCAGAGTATGAGTTAATTTGTCACACACGAGTCCATGTAAGCAATAAGAAGTCTAGAAAAGGTTTAAGTTTGCATTCATAATCAAGTATGACACGAAAATATGCATTTGTATATGTGGCTTATGTGCATACTATCTGTGAAATTTATAATGTATGTTCCTCTAGATCATGGTGAGAACAAGGGCAAAAGATGGAAAGGATTTAACTTCCATATGGCTCGATAGGATGGAAGCAATGATTATGGACATGGCTGAGGCTTTTAAACGACGACAACAACAACAACAACCCCCACCGCCACCAATGCCAGTGCCACCACCTGTAGTGCAAGACCACCAAGCTGATGACCGAACTATTGCTCTCACAAAGGAATTTAAGAAGATGAAACAGCCATTATGCAAAAGGGGAATCGATCCATTGAAGGCAGAGGCATGGGTGCTTGGCATATAGAAATTATTTGAGGTTTTTCCATGTACGGAGGGCCAGAAAGTTTTACTTTGTGCTTTTACACTAGAAGATGAGGCATGGGTGCTTGGCATATAGAAATTATTTGAGGTTTTTCCATGTACGGAGGGCTAGAAAGTTTTACTTTGTGCTTTTACACTAGAAGATGAGGCACGTCGTTGGTGGATACTCATCCAAGAGGAACATCAAGGAATGAATTAGGCTCAGTTTTTGGAGATCTTTTATGAGTACTTCCCACAGAGTATCCAAGACAGGAAGGTGTCGGAGTTTGAAAACTTGAAGCAAGGGAACAAAACCATAGCGGAGTATGATGCACAATTTACCGAACTAGCCCGTTTCGTACTGCACATGGTTGATACAGACTACAAAAAGGTGAGGAAATTTAAGAGAGGTCTCTGAGACTCCATTCTTGAGAAGATTAATGCATTGAAGGTACAAAAATATGTGGATGTATTGGATAGGGCCATCATAGCGGAAGGTAATTAGGCCAACCACAACCAGTACTCAGATTGGAAGGGCAAAAGGCAAGGCTTGAATGTGCACAAAGGGTCGGCATCCTCCCAAAATAAGAAGCAAAATTTTGGGACTTCCAACATTGCGGGGTTTAATCGTGATTCACCACCAACTTGCCCAGAGTGTGGGAAGAAACATCGAGGGGTTTGCCATCGAGCATCAGGAGCTTGCTTTAAGTGTGGGAAGACATGACATATGATGAGAGATTGTCCTATGTTTGGGCAACAAAAAGGGAATAGGCCAACTGCTAGTTCAGCCGGTTCCACTCCTGCAACAAAGACCCTGGCAAGGCCTACTACTTCTAGAGATAATGTTAGGCAAGGGAGAGTCTTTGCTCTTGTTCCAGGTGATGTCCAAAATTCAGATGCTGTGGTTTCAGGTACGTTGTCCATCAATGGCCAACCTGCTCATGTGCTACTTGATTCAGGTTCCACTCATTCCTTTGTTTCGAAAACCTTTGCTCCTAATTTGAATAGATCTATGGAACCCTTGAAGTATGTGTTGTGTGTGTCTCTCCCATCTGGGGATTATATGTTATGTGCTTCTATGTATCCCGCATGTGAGCTTTTACTTGGAGATATTCCATTATTTGCTAATTTGATGTCTCTTGATATAGTACACTTTGATATAATTTTGGGAATGGATTGGTTAGCTAGTATCATGCAACCATCGATTTGTGTCTAAGCAAGTTGTTTTCCGCCCACCGGGCCAAGATGAGTTTACTTTTGTGGGATATGGGGTGGTTCCTCCATCCTATTTGATATCGGCTATGAAAACTTGTAAACTACTTCAGAAAGATTATAGGGTTTATTTGTGTAGCATTTTGCATGCAGAGACAACTGAGGTGGGTGTTGAAAATATTCAGATTGTTAGTGAGTTTCCGGATGTATTTCTCGAAGAACTGCCCGGGGACTTGATAGACTATGAGATTGAATTTGTCATTGATATTGTAACGGGTACTCAACCGATTTCTAAGGCTCCGTACAAAAATGTCTCCACAAAAATAAAGGAATTGAAAATACAGTTGCGAGAATTGCTTGACAAAGGATTCATCTGACCGAGTACATCGCCATGGGACCCATTTTGTTTGTGAAGAAGAAGGATGGGACCCTTCGGTTGTGTATTGATTACCGAGAACTTAATAAGGTCACGGTGAAGAATAAATATCCTTTACCACGGATTGATGATTTGTTTGACCAATTACAGGGGACACAAGTGTTTTCAAAGATTGACTTGAGATCCGAGTACCATTAGTTGAAAGTCAAAGCAGAGGATGTTGAGAAGACCACCTTCCGAACCAAGTATAGCCATTATGAATTTTTAGCCATGCCTTTTAGGGTTACAAATGCACCAGTAGCTTTTATGAATTTAATGAATCGGGTTTTCAAACCGTACTTGGATGAGTTTGTGGTGGTATTCATTGATGACATTCTTATTTATTCAAAGAGTAGGAAGGAACATGAAAACACTTGAAGTTGATTCTTCAAACACATAGGGATAAGAAGTCATATGCTAAATTGAAGAAATGTGAATTTTGGTTTAATGAAGTTGTGTTTTTGGGGCACGTGATCAACAAGGATGGTGTATCTGTCGATCCACAAAAGATAGAAGCTATTGTGAATTGGCCTGCTCCTACCAATCTTATAGAAGTATGCAGATTTATGGATTTAGTAGGTTATTATCAAAGATTTGTTAAAGATTTCTCCAAAGATTGCGGTGCCGCTCACCCAGTTGACTCAAAAAGGCGTCCCATTTGAGTGGACAAAACAAAGGGAGTCCGCCTTCCAAGAATTAAAGACAAGGCCTACAACAGCACTGGTTCTCGCCTTACCGTCAAGTACAGAAGAGTTTGTGATTTATAATGATGCTTTTCGTAAGGGTTTGGGGTGTGTACTTACGCAGAATGAAAGAGTAATTGCGTATGCATGTTGACAATTGAAGCCACATGAAAAGAGTTACCCTACGCATGATTTGGAATTAGCTATTGTGGTGTTTGTATTGAAAATTTGGCAGTATTATCTTTATGGAGCAACATGTGAAGTCTATACCGACTATAAGAGCCTCAAGTATTTCTTTACTCAAAAGGAGCTTAATATGCGACAAAGACGGTGGTTAGAACCCATCAAGGATTAGGACTTGCAAATTCATTATCATCCCGGCAAAGCCAACACGGTAGCGGATGCTC